GGAGGAGGAGGAGGAGGAGGAGGAGGAGAAGGAGCTGGTCGGGGACGGCGCTGGCGACGAAGAGGGGGGCGAGGAAGAACGGAGTGCCCAAAGGAGGAGTGCACGGCATTACATAATCGTCTGGCCAAGCCATGCGATACGAAACTCCATTCCTGCTTCGCCACGGGCCTATCAGAAGCGCAAACCTCTGGATGCCGTCGGGCGCCGCGAACACCGGACCCGCGATGTGCAGGTCAGCCGCCGCTGTGCATTTCAACCAGGTCGCCGAGCGGAATCTGGTGAACACACGCCTTGCCTCGCTAGCAAATCATGGGAGCCTGGTATACCCTCGTAATTCCCCCTTTAGCGTCGATTAGCGGTGATTAGCGTCTGGGAGTCGATGAGACATCGCCGATGTAGCGTCGGTCAGCGTCGGTCAGCGTCGATTTAGCGTCGATTAGCTTCGATTTAGCGTCGGCAAGCGTCGATTCGCAAGGGCCGACAAGATGGTATGGGAGGCCCCCACGAGTTGCCGCCGAACCTTGCGGCCCCTGCCGAGCAAGGCGCCCACGCAGCCGTCTCGCGGCAGGGCGCGCCACACAGTGAGCGGCTTGAATAAGGACCACTTACTTTTCAAAAGGGGCTCGGTCGTTCCTTAGGTTTGCACGCGTCATTTACAGTTCCTTATGCGTTGTTCGTTATTTATCGTTCCTCATGTGTTATTCCTTGGGATAGAAAATGGGCCTCGTTCCTCATTTCTCGTTCCTTAGGTCAGGCCGATGACTGTACCTGCACACGGCCGCCCCCGCGCGGGCCCCCAAACCGGCCGCGGGGGCCCTCTCCGCGGCCCGCTCTCGTCAGTCCGGGGCGCCGTCCTCGCATCCGGAGGGCCGAGGGCCCTCGGCGCCTCGGGAGCGCTCTGGGCGTGCAGCGGCCGCCCTCGCCCTATAAGGCATCGCTCGGGCTGCTGCGCAGCTCTCCCAGCGGGGAGCATCGAGGAGCAGGCCCAGACATGCTTGCGTCGTAAAAAATTCAGGCCGGAGGTTTTTCGCCGTTTTCGGGCTCTGGAGGCCTTCGCCGGGCCTCGGGGCCGTCAAAAAACGACTCAGGATGAAAAACCGGCCCCGGGGAAAGGGTCGGGACTTCCGGGGGCGCCGTCCTGAAAAAATCAGGACGTCGCATGTCTGGGGGCCGCGCTGGGCAGGCCTGACAAGTGGGTCAAGAGACGGCCCGCGGCCCGACAGCCAGGGGCCAGGGAGCAGCCCGCCCTCGGGGGGGCCTGAAGGGGCTGGGGGGCTGCCACTGCCATGGCAGGCCCCCCTCCCAGGGCGGCCCGCGCCAGGGCTCCGGCCAGGATGCGCGCGGCGTGGGTGCGGAACCTGCAGGAGGACGGGGACGTGGAACCGCACCCAGGCCCAGCCAAGGGACGCAGCAGGAGGCCCAGGAGAGGGCGAGGAGGAGCAGGAGGACGCGGCAGACGCGACCCTGTAGGAGGCGGGGAGGACGAGGAGGCGCCGGCGTCCCCGCAGTGGAAACGGCAGAAGGCCTGCAGCGAGAAGCCTCCCAAAATGCTCAAGAGCATGGGCAAAAAGATGGTGGGGGAGTTCTGGACCCACAACGTGGGCGGCTCCAAGATGGCCTGGGACTGCGCCCGGCTGGCAGCGAAGCACGGCGTGGCTTTCGTCGCAATGCAGGAGCACCGCCTCCGCGGCAAGGACGTGGGGGCGTTCATCGCGTACTGTGATAAGCTGGGATACCGGGCTTTTGTGGTGGACGCAGTCACGCGGGCCAGCGAAGGGGGAGGGAGGAGCGGCATCGCCCTCCTCGTGAGCAAGGAGCTGAACTCCGCGACGGTGCACGAAAAGACTTTCGGGGCGTCGCACTTCCAGCTGGTCTCGGTGGCCGGGAAGCTTTTCGGCAACGTGTACGCGTCGCCCACGGAGGACAACGGGCCGCTCTTCGACGACGTTGCCCAGACCGTCAGCAGCCTTGGCGCCCAAGCCGAGTGGGCCATTGCAGGAGACTGGAATGTGACGCCAAAGGACAACCCAGTGGCGCTCTTCATTTCAGAATCCGGCGGGCGGGTTGCGGCCGTGCCTGACGGAGAAGGCGGCCACGCCCCCACGCGGTGGAAAGGCAGGAGGTGTCTGGACTACTGGGTGGCCAACGGGCCCTGGGTCCAGGGGAGGGGCTTCGAGGCCACGACGTCCTCTGACCACAAGGTCGTGCGCGCCGCGGTGGAGGTCAGCGGGCGCCCGCGCTGCAGGGCGCCCGAGGAGAGGCTCCGGAAAAGGCACAAGCCGGTAGACCTCGCGAGGCCCGCCGGCGTCGCGAAGGAACGCTGGACGGAGCTGGTCGCGAGACACTGGGAGGCCCAAGCGCCGAGCGCCCCTGCCGGGCCCCCGGGGTGCGGCAGCCTCGCCGCGAGGAGGAGGAGGGCGGACCGGCTGTGGTCATCCGCCACGGCTGCGCTGGAGGCCGCCCTGAGGGGCGCCAAGCGGGAGATAGCCGCCAGCGTCGGCACGAGCCCGGAGGAGCTGGACAAGGGCTGGAGGCGCACCAAGGGGCGCCAACGCTTGGGCGCCTTGAGGCAGGAGGACAAGGACCCCTTTGCGGGGGGCTGCAAGGCCCTGAGGCAGGCTACGCGCTGCACGCGGCTACGGCACCTCGCCTGGCTCCGCCGCCAGGAGCGGGAGGGCAGCAAGCAGGCGGAGGAGGAGGCGGAGGAGCTGAGGAGAATCCTGGAGGAGGAGCTTCAGGAGGAGGACGGGCCGCGAGGCGACACCGAGGCGGCAGCTCGCCGGATCCTGGAGGCGCAGATGAAGGCGGATTTCCAGGCCCGGCTCGCGGACTGGAGGCGCAAGATGAAGGAAGACGACCGGGCGGTCTGGAAGTGGATCCAGGGGGCCTGGCTCCGCCCCACCATCAGCGTCTTCTCGGACAGGGTCCCCGGCGGGAAGGCGGCGACGAGGTCCCCCCAAGAGAGCCTGGAGAGGCTAGCTGCCCACTGGCGCACCGTGTGGGACCGACAGCGGCCGTCGACGGAGGCCGCGCTGCGGGAGGTGGCCGGCGTCATCCCCGCGAGGGACGAAGTGGACCTCGACGCCCTCGTGGGGGGGGACTTCTCCGAGGCGGCGCGGAGGCAGAAGGGCAGTGCGGCAGGCCCAGACGGATGGCGCGGCGACGAGCTGCAGGATCTGCCGGACACGGTGTGGCAGCACCTGGCCGAGGTCTACGCAGCCATCGAGGCGGGGGGCGTGCCGCCCCAGGCGTGGACCCACGCTCGCATGGTCCTGCTGCCCAAGGGCAAGGGGGCCAGGGCCGAGGATGGCGCAGTCGACTGCGCGGCGCTGCGGCCAATCACCATTCTCTCGGTGTGGTGGCGCCTCTGGGGCAGCGCCCGGCTGCGGGAGCGCAGTGCGCAGGCCTGGCTTGACTCCTGGTGGCCAGAGGAGGCCGTAAGCGGCCGCGCCGGCAGGGAGGTCATCGACGCTGTTGGCCCCCTGGAGGAAGCGTACGCGGGAGGGTTTTTTTTGGCGACCTTCGACTACTCCCTCGCCTTCGACATGGCGGACCCCGCGGCGGTGGTCGGCATCTTCAGGCAGGTGGGGCTGCCCCGGCGCACGGCCGACCTGGTCGGGGGAGTGTGGGGGCAGCAGCAGCGGTGGCTGGAGTTCCAGGGCCGCGTCCTCGCGGACCCGTGTGCGGTCGACGCCAGCATGCCGCAGGGCGACGGCTGGTCGGTGGTGGGCATGGCGGCGCTCCTCGTGGCGCCGATCACGAAGCTGCAGGAGGACTTCCCGCACGCGCAGCAGGCGGTGTACATGGGCGACCGCTCCTGGAAGAGCGCCACGGCGGAGGAGGTGGCCCAGGTGGCGGCCTCCTGGCGGTGGTGGTCAGCAGCGCTGGGCCTTAAGGAGAACAGGAGCAAGGAGCAGTTCGGCCACCGCACGAAGGCGGGGCGACGGCAGCTGAGGGCCCAGGCAGGGGTCACAGAAGCCACGGTGCTGGCGCAGCCACTGCTGCTGGGGTGCCACTTCCAGCCCTCCCAACGGCGCCGCAAGGCCCCCAAGGAGGAGGCGAGGCTGGCCGCGGCGCATGCAAGGATGCGGAGGCTGGCGCTCATCCCGCGGTCGGGGCTGGCCAAGCGACGCTTTGCAGCAGGCACTATGGCCGTCGCCCTGTGGGGCTGGGTGGCCCGGCCGCCCAACCAGGCAGACGTGGACAGGCTCGGCGCCGCCACGCGACGAGCTCTGAGGGCGGCCAGAAGAGGCTCCCCGCACCTCTTCGAGATCCTCGTCGGCCACTCGGCGTCGGCGTCGTATCGGATGATGGAGGCGCCAGTCGCGGCAGCGGCCCGGAGGGCGCTGAAGACCAGAGCTGTCGTGGGGCGCTGGGACTCCCCAGGCTGGCCCAAAACGATCCGGACGCTCCTCCGGAGGGAAGGCTGGCAGGAGCTGGAGGAGGCGCCGCCGTTTGAGGAGGAGGAGGGCGAGGAGGAAGAGGCAGGAAACCCCGAGGTTCCGCCAGAGAAGGGATGGAGGTGGACCCACCCAGGTACCGGCGGGGCGGTCAGCCTGCGGCCAGAAGATGCCGTATCGGTGAGCAAGCTGAAGCATGACCTCCGCGAGGGGTGGCGCGCGCACCGGTTCGCGCAGTGGCGGCGCTCGACGCGCAACGATGCCGAATTCTGCCGTGGCGCAGTCCAGTACGACAGTCTACGATTGAAAGAAGCGCAGAAGCACCGGCAAAGGCAGCCTGCCATCTTGCCCGTGCTCACGGGCGCCACGATGAGCTGTGCGGCGTGGCAGTCGGCCCGCAGGGAGGAGATCGCGTGCCCGGCCTGTGGCCTGAAAGGCGGCGGACATCTCATCCACCTCGTGTGGGGCTGCCCGGGGGCCTCCGGGGCCGCTCACCGCAGACGGCCGCCGCGGCCAGCAGACCCGATGCAGGCGCGGCTGGGGTGGCCCATCCGAGAGGACCCAGGCTACTCGATCAACGTGCTGGACTGGCACCTGCAG